GTCACCATAACCGATTGAATGTACTGTAGACCTTTGTAACTTTGTGTGATTTCTGACATTTCTGACATGTGTTAGGCTAATCAACTGCATTATCCCACCAAGTTAAAGCCGTTAGGGCTTATAGGGGAATTTTATCAGGGAAAGTCATCACACAAGAGTAGCTCAGCGAACTTCATTAAACTCTATTACAAAGCCAATCAATCAGTATAGGCCTAATCAAATTATCTTAATTGTTCTTAAGCATGTATGATTAACATTCCTCCTTTGGGAGCCCACTGATGTGCTATACATGTTAGCTAGGTTTACTTCAGTGTAAGCCAGAAGCATGTTAAAGATGTTATATGGTATATGTATGTTAATATCAGACCAGGAGATCAATCCATTAAATGGTCAAATCATGTAATATGTAAGGGTGGATTTTTATTATTCAAAATGTCAATGTCTAGACTCTAGTTCCTCATCAGTTGTATGTTGATTGATATCACTGATTGGTATCTCCATGTATGCGTAATCGTTGCATGTCTCGTTCAAATTATTGACGACTACACGTGGATAACTACCTACCATGCAGAGGAGAATAGAGGCGTTCAATTTGGCATTTCACGTAATCAACGCTCCTATTAAAAGGGTAATGGAGAGTAGAGGGGATGTGTGTGTGAGGTGGTCGAATGCAGACGGTAAAGCAGCCATTCTGTCTCGAGCTCACCCAGCATCAACACCACGGGATTACGCGCGATCTCTGTCTGCTTCTGAAACGGAGAAGAGTATCGGTTTCAAACCTGCAGGGCGAAATCTATTATTTTACAAGATAAGGCAACACGCATTTCAGCTTCGATAGGGGAAGTTGGAAGACAAATAACAGGTCCGCGAATAATCCACAGGTTTGTAGCATTTCGAATGCCATTTTTTCAACACTAGTCGATTTTGTTTTATAATTAATTATTCTCAATAAACTACACTTGCTATTATTTCCCTTCTCTATGAAAATGTAAGACCGAGCAGGTATCGGAATTGTTCATGATAAAAGTAGGCTTGATGTAGCTATGATACAATTGTCTGAATTGTGAGACACCGTTTCTGGAGGACAGATGTGATGTGTGCTGCCAACAGGTGTTGTAGGCTAGTTTTAGCCTAGTCGGCATCAGCAAGGCTTCTAACGAGAAGTAACTGGCTTATGTTGTGCATATAACCATTGTCATGCATGTGAAAGGGAATTGGAATACATGTTAAAGTGATATTCCAGAACTTTTGTATAATTTCAGCCAGTAGTTTTGAAAGTGGTGCTCAAGAGCCAAAACAGGACCCCATTTTGTGTGTACTACCTCATCCAATTGTGTTCAAGTCAACCATTTCGTATTACATTTTACATTTTAGTCATTTAGCAGACGCTCTTATCCAGAGCGACTTACAGTTAGTGAATACATTTTTTTCTTTATACTGGCCCCCCGTGGGAATCAAACCCACAACCCTGGCGTTGCAAACGCCATGCTCTATCAACTGAGCTACATCCCTGCCGGCCATTCCCTCCCCTACCCTGGGCCAATTGTGCGCCGCCCATGAGTCTCCCGGTCGCGGCCGGCTGCGACAGAGCCTGGATTCGAACCAGGATCTCTAGTGGCACAGTTAGAACTGCGATGCAGTGCCTTAGACCACTGCGCCACTCAGGAGCTGTGATATGATATGTTACCTCCAATTCGTATGATTTGTTATTTGTCTTCCCTCCGGCGCCATCCTACTCTGTGTAGTGATGGCGCCGGAGGGGATGGCTGCCGTTTTATGGACTCTTAACCAACTGCTATTTTGTGTGTGTTTTCGCATTGTTTGTAACTTATTTTGTACATAATGTTGCTGCTACCGTCTCTTATGACCGAAAAGAGCTCCTGGACATCAGAACAGCGATTACTCACCTTGAACTGGACAAATAATTTTTATTCTATGAGTCGGACGAGAGGGATTTGCTCCAGACACCCGACAGGGCCCTCATCCCCGTCATTCACAGTAGAAAGAAAAGGAGATATTGCGGAAGGAGATCGGGGTGCTTGGTAAGGAGCCGGCGACGAGTGGCTAATCTGCCTTTGCCATCGATACTATTGGCCAATTTACAATCGCTTGATAATGAAATGACGATGACATGAATAACATACAGCTGGCGGGTTATACACTGTATCGGCAGGATAGAACAGCTGCCTCTGGTAAGACAAGGGGTGGCGGTCTATGTATATTTGTAAACAACAGCTGGTGCACGATATCTAAGGAAGTCTTGAGGTTTTGCTCGCCTGAGGTAGAGTATCTCATGATAAGCTGTATACCACACTATCTACCAAGAGTTTTCATCTATATTCTTCGTAGCTGTCTATTTACCACCACAAACCGATGCTGGCACTAAGACCACACTCAATGAACTGTATATGGCCATAAGCAAACAGGAAAACTTAAATCCGTTTTACCTCATTTCTACCAGCATGTTAAATGTGCAACCAGAGGGGGAAAAAATCTAGACCACCTTTACTCCACACACAGAGACGCGTACAAAGCTCTCCCTCGCCCTCCATTTGGAAAATCTGACCATAATTATATCCTCCTGATACCTGCTTACAAGCAAAAACTAAAGCAGGAAGCACCAGTGACTCGGTCAATAAAAAAGTGGTCAGATGAAGCAGATGCTAAGCTACAGGACTGTTTTGCTAGCACAGACTGGAATATGTTCCGGGATTCTTCCGATGGCATTGAGGAGTACTCCACATCAGTCACTGGCTTCATCAATAAGTGCATCGATGACGTCGTCCCCACAGTGACTGTACGTACATACCCCAACCAGAAGCCATGGATTACAGGCAACATCCGCACTAAGCTAAAGGGTAGAGCTGCCGCTTTCAAGGAGCGGGACTCTAACCCGGAAGCTTATAAGAAATCCTGCTATGACCTCCGACGAACCATCAAACAGGCAAAGCGTCAATCCAGGACTAAGATCGAATCGTACTACACCAGCTCTGATGCTCGTCGGATGTGGCAGGGCTTGCAAACCATTACAGACTACAAAGGGAAGCACAGCCGTGAGCTGCCCAATGACACGAGCCTACCAGACGAGCTAAGTTACTTCTATGCTCGCTTGAGGCAAGTAACACTGAAACATGCATGAGAGCATCAGCTGTTCCAGATGACTGTGTGATCACACTCTCTGTAGCTGATGTGAGTAAGACCTTTAAACAGGTCAACATTCACAAGGCCGCAGGGCCAGACGGATTACCAGGACGTGTACTCCGAGCATGCACTGACCAACTGGCAAGCGTCTTCACTGACATTTTCAACCTCTCCCTGTCTGAGTCTGTAATACCAACATGTTTCAAGCGGACCACCATAGTCCCTGTGCTCAAGAACACTAAGGTAACCTGCCTAAATGACTACCGACCCGTAGCACTCACGTATGTAGCCATGAAGTGCTTTGAAAGGCTGGTCATGGCTCACATCAACACCATTATCCCAGAAACCCTAGACTCACTCCAATTTGCATTTCGCCCCAACAGATCCACAGATGATGCAATCTCTATTGCGCTCCACACTGCCCTTTCACACCTGGACAAAAGGAACACCAATGTGAGAATGCTATTCATTGACTACAGCTCAGCGTTGCCCTCAAAGCTCATCACTAAGCTAAGGACCCTGGGACTAAACATTTCCCTATGCAACTGGATCCTGGACTTCCTGACGGTCCGTCCCCAGGTGGTAAGTGTAGGTAACAACACATCCGCCACGCTGATCCTCAACACAGGGGCCCTTCAGGGGTGCGTGCTCAGTCCCCTCCTGTACTCCCTGTTCACTCATGACTGCATGGCCAGGCATGACTCCAACACCATCATTAAGTTTGCCGATGACACAACAGTGGTAGGCCTGATCACCGACAACGACGAGACAGCCTATAGGGAGGAGGTCAGAGACCTGGCCGTGTGGTGCCAGGACAACAACCTCTCCCTCATCGACGGGGCTGTAGTGGAGCAGGTTGAGAGCTTCAAGTTCCTTGGTGTCCACATCACCAACAAACTAACATGGTCCAAGCACACCAAGACAGTCGTGAAGAGGGCACGCAAATCCTATTCCCCCTAAGGAGACTGAAAAGGTTTGGCATGGGTCCTCAGATCCTCAAAAGATTCTACAGCTGCACCATCAAGAGCATCCTGACTGGTTGCATGACTGCCTGGAATGGCAACTGCTCAGCCTCCGACCGCAAGACACTACAGAAAGTAGTGCGTACGGCCCAGTACATCGCTGGGGCCATGCTTCCTGCCATCCAGGACCTCTATACCCGGCGGTGTCAGAGGAAGGCCCTAAAAATTGTCAAAGACTCCAGCCACACTAGTCATAGACTGTTCTCTCTGCTACTGCACGGCAAGTGGTACCGGAGCGCCAAGTCTAGTTCCGAGAGGCTTCTAAACAGCTTCTACCCCCAAGCCATAAGACTCCTGAACATCTAATCAAATGGCTACCCAGACTATTTGCATTGCCCCCCCACCCCTCTTTTACGCTGCTGCTACTCTCTTTTTATTATCTATGTATAGTCACTTTAATAACTCTACCTACATGTACATATTACCTCGACTAACCGGTGTCCCCGCACAATGTACCGGTACCCCCTGTATATATACTCGCTATTGTTATTTTTACTGCTGCTCTTTAATTATTTGTTACTTTATTTCGTATTTTATATAGTATCTTTTGTTGTATTCGGCACATGTGACAATTTTTGGGGGGATATGTTACGAATCCAAATAGTATAATATGTTACAAATTTGTTGTGATTAAGATCCCGGACTGCATCTATAAACCAGATTAACCTGCCAGGTCTGTCAAAAGAAAAAGGTGGGCGGTGGCAATTCTGCAAAACCCTAACCACCTCCTCCCTCACACCGTAACGCCACTGGTTACCGAGATAGAAGTTGTTCACTGCGCTGATTGCACTGCCTGGTTTGACATTTCCACAGCTGTTGCTGTGTAATTTGTACAGCATGGACGCGCTAATAAAGGGATTCTCAAAAGCCAAGGATGGGGTCGTGGCAGCAGCGGAGAAGACGAAGCAGGGAGTGACTGGGGCGGCTGAGATGACAAAAGACGGCGTTATCTTTGTCGGTAGGTCTTGACAATTGTAGCCTACATGCTCTTTCTTATTGCTTTATATTTAATTTAATAAAAATTCTGTATGACCATGGTTGATCAGACAACATAAAGTGATAATTTTATTGAATGACAGTGGTCCCATGTTAGATATTTGTCACCCGTCCTTCACATTTTTGTTCTTTTCATAGGCAACAAAACAAAGGATGGAGTCACAACAGGTAGGCTACAGGTCACCATTACCAACATTTAAGCTATTTTATATAATATAATATACTGTAGTTCAGTCGAGTACAGGCTTATCTGAATGACAACAGAGACCGAATACAATATGGAATTTTATTGAATAGTTTGTGGTAGGTCTTGTCTCCGAGGAATGGTCCTTAGAGCCAGATGCTGATGACAGGTTGCCCTATGCTAGAGAACGGGGTTCCGATGATGTGCCTTCAGGTTATTATGCTAGTGGTGTTGGGGAGGTGGAAGGCCGTTGGAAGACTGTTGCTGCAAAACATCAAGTGAGAGACAAGGAGTGAGTTGACAAATACTCCCTAGATTTATGCCCATTGGTTGACAAAGGGAAGTGATTATTGCACAAGTGATCCCATAGGTTAATCAGCAAGCGTGGTGGAATTGCCTTAGTGTGCTATGCTCATTGGCTGAAGTTAAGGTGATTGACAGAGCTTTCCACACCTGGATTGTGCAACATTTGCCCATTATTCTTTTCAAAATTCTTAAAACTCTTGTCATTTTCAGGTCTTGCAATAGATTTTCCTGTAGATTAAAGTCAAAACTGTAACTCGGCCACTCAGGAACATTCACTGTCTTCTTGGTAAGCAACTCCAGTGTAGATTTGGCCTTGTGTTTTAGGTTATTGTCCTGCTGAAAGGGGAATTAATCTCCCAGTGTCTGGTGGAAGGCAGACTGAACCAGGTTTTCCTCTAGGATTTTGCTTGTGTTTAGCTCCATTCTGTTCCTTTTTTATCCTGAAAAACAGCCCAGTCCTAAACGATTACAAGCATACCCATAACATGATGCAGCCACCACTATGCTGGAAAATATGGAGAGTGGTACTCAGTAATCTGTTGTATTGGATTTGCCCCAAACATAACACTTTTATTCTGTACAGGCTTCCTTCTTTTCACTCTGTCAATTAGGTTAGTATTGTGGAGTAACTACAATGTTGTTGATCCATCCTCAGTTTTCTCCTATCACAGCCATTAAACTCTGTAACTGTTTTAAAGTCACCATTGGCCTCATGGTGAAATCCCTGAGCTGTTTCCTTCATCTCAGGCCTGTAACTTTGTAGTGACTGGGTGTATTGATACACCATCCAAAGTGTAATTAATAACTTCACCATGCTCAAAGGGATATTCAGTGTCTGCTTAAAAAATATATGTTTTATCTACCAATAGGTGCCCTTCTTTGCGAGGCATTGGAAATCCTCCCTGGTCTTTGTGGTTGAATCTGTGTTTGAAGTTCACTGCTCGACTTCGGGACCTTACAGATAATTGTATGTGTGGGGTACAGAGATGAGGTAGTCATAAAAAAATCATGTTAAACACTATTATTGCACACAGTGAGTCCATGCAACTTATGTGACTTGTTAAGCAAATGTTTACTCCTGAACTTATTTAGGCTTGCCATTACAAAGGGGTTGAAGATTTATTGACTCAAGACATTTCAGCTTCTCATTTTTTATTAATTTGTAAAAAATTTGAAAAACATAATTAATTCCACTTTGACATTATGGGATATTGTGTGTAGGCCAGTGACCAAAACTCTCAATTTAATCCATTAGACATTCCGGCTGTAACACAACAAAATGTGGAATAAGTTAAAGGGTATGAATACTTTCTGAAGGCACTAAGTGGGTCGTTCCACCAATTCGGTGCCTTTTGAGAAGTGTAACTTGGTCCGGAAAAACATTTGGTTTCACATTAGAGCACATGTTCAAGTTAATAAAAAACATGTTTCCCATCTTGAGGTAACATTTTTGTGTGCCAAACAAATTAAATTAAATGTATTTGTCACCGTATTGTGCCGAATACAACCAGTGTAGACTTTACAGTGAGTTGCTTAAGCCCTTAAACAACAATGCAGTTTAAAGAAAAATAGGAGTTAAGAAAATATTTATTAAATAAACTAAAGTAATAAAGTAACACAATAAAATAAAAATAATGAGTTGACCGTAACAGGGTTGACGATATCTTCTTAAATCAGCCATAAATCCCCTTGTGACAGGGAATGGAAGCTTGTTTTTCAGAAATGACTCTCAAAGCAACAAAATAACTAGGGCTTTACAATGATGGTGAAACTTGGAGAAATGTTGATTAAGTGGGATAAAATCTTCCAAGAAGTGACCCCCCATATTTTCTCTCTCTCGGTAGTTGCAGGTAAAACAGCGTCTGGGGTTTCCCAGGTGGGCGGAGCCATGGTGACAGGTGTGACAGCAGTGGCCCACAGGACTGTGGAGGGGGCGGGGAATATCGCTGCTGCGACTGGATTGGTCAAGAAAGACCCAGCCAAACAGGTGAGAACCTGCGATACATGACACACTCCTTCCTTGTTCAATATTTGATAACCTCGCTTACACACACTTTACAGCTCTCTATCTCTTCATTTAGGCACTGCCTCTCTCACACATTTTAAATTAAGATGAATGACAAACGGGTGGGGTTTACTTTTTTTTCTTATACACATATAAGAGAGAACAGAAGCAACCGTTGCTATTCATTTTAGTCTTGATACGGACATTTCATTAGAACCTATTGGCATCTGCCTCTCCTTTCAGCACAGCATTTTTCAACCATTTTATGTGACAGCTATGCAGTGCTCTTTCCCCTCTGTGAAATGGACTCTCACCTTGAGTCCTCTCCAGCTTGTTGCTTCTTCCTCTCTTCTCGTCTTCCTCAGGCATTCTTAGTTCTCAGTCATAAAAAGCAGGATGGATTCTCCATTGTCTGTCTGAAAGTCTGTTTATATAAAGGCAGAGAGAGAGAGAAGTGAGGTCATTTATCCTGACAGACAATTTGCAGCCCTGATGGTCTTTGAAGATGAAAAATGATTGTCTCTCTTTCAAAACAAAACTCAATAGAATCTTGAATATATAAAAGTAAAACTTGCCTGCAATGGTGGCCTTGTAGTAGTAGTGATGATTAATCTTCAAACCAACAGCAGAGCAACAGGGTTTCTTCAGTCTGCTCTTCCATGTTCTTCCAATTAAAGGGACAATGCAATATTTACTGCTGTTCAAATGGTCAATTCAATGAATGACAAACACCCATTGATTATTGAGAGATATAACTTGCCTCAAGAGTTTAGTAGAACTGAACTCCATCTATGCATTTGAGAATGGTTGCATTTCTCCAGCCCCATCCCTCAGCTTTATAGCAAAACAAGTGGAGGGGCTGCCATTTGTATGAAAAACAAATGACAGATTGTGGCTTTAAGTGTTAATCTGCCAGGTGAATTAGCCCCCCCCAAAGCACCCTGCTGACGTCACAGGTACTCAGCAATCATTGCATTCATTATCTGTACAGTGTCCTTACTGTCACGCGACGTGTATGCGGTCAGCGAAAGTCAAACGCAGGACACAGAGCGGCTAGCAACGTACTTTACTGAACACAGTAAAATAAACGTACAAAACAACAAACCTCCAAACAGGGAGGAAAACACAAATGCCCGTAATACAAAGCAACTGCCAAAATAACAAAGAACAATCACACACAAAATAACCAATGTGAGACAGGGGGTAATATAGGGAATACAATCCAACATAATGGAAAACAGGTGTAAACAATAAAGACCAAACAAGACAAACACCGAAACATCGATCGGCAGCAGCTAGTACTCCGGGGACGACGAACGGCGAAGCCTGCCCGAGCAAGGAGGAGGAGCAGCCTCGGCTGAATCCGTGACAGTACCCCCCCCCCCCCCCCCTTGACGCGCGGCTCCAGCCGTGCGCCGACCCCGGCCTCGGGGACGGCCAGGAGGACGCGGAGCAGGGCGAGTCGGATGACTCCGGTGGAAATCCCTCAACAGGGAGGGATCTAGGATTTCCCTCCTAGGGACCCAGCACCGTTCCTCCGGACCGTACCCCTCCCACTCCACGAGATACTGCAGACCCCCCATCCGACGCCTCGAATCCACGATGGAACGGACTGAGTACGCCGGAGCCCCCTCGATGTCTAGTGGGGGCGGAGGAGCCTCTCGTACCTCATTCTCCTGAAGTGGACCAGCTACCACCGGCCTGAGGAGAGACACATGGAACGAGGGGTTAATGCAGTAATTAATGGGAAGTTGTAACCTATAACATACCTCGTTCAATCTCCTCAGGACTTTAAATGGCCCCACAAACCGCCGACCCAGCTTCCGGCAGGGCAGGCGAAGGGGCAGGTTTCGGGTCGAGAGCCAGACCCGATCTCCCGGTGCATACACCGGAGCCTCACTGCGGTGCCGATCGGCGCACGCCTTTTTCCGCCTGATAGCCCGCTGCAGATGGACATGCGCAGCGTTCCATGTTTCCTCCGAGCGCCGAAACCACTCATCCACTGCAGGGGCTTCGATCTGGCTCTGATGCCAGGGACCGGCTGATAACCCAGCACACACTGAAAAGGCGTAAGATTAGTGGAGGAGTGGCGGAGTGAGTTTTGGGCTATCTCTGCCCAGGGGATATACCCCGACCACTCCTCCTGCCGGTCCTGGCAATAGGACCTCAGAAACCTACCCACATCCTGGTTTACTCTCTCCACCTGCCCATTACTCTCAGGGTGAAAACCCGAGGTCAGGCTAATCGCCCTCCAGACTCTAGAGGTGAACTGGGGACCCCGATCAGACATTATATCCTCAGGCACCCCGTAGTGCCAGAAGACGTGAGTAAACAGGGCGTCGGCCGTTTGTAGGGCTGTAGGGAGACCTGGCATAGGAATGAGATGGCAGGCCTTAGAAAACTGATCCACAACGACCAAGATCGTGGTGTTCCCCTGGGAGGGGGGAAGGTCCGTGACAAAATCCACCGATAGGTGAGACCACGGCCGTTGTGGAACGGGTAGGGGTTGTAACTTCCCTCTGGGCAGGTGTCTAGGCGCCTTACACTGGGCGCACACCGAGCAGGAAGAAACGTAAACCCTCACATCCCTAGCTAAGGTGGGCCACCAGTACTTCCCACTAAGGCAGTGCACTGTCCGACCAATACCAGGATGACCAGAGGAGGGTGACGTGTGAGCCCAATATATCAGTCGATCACGGACCTCGAGCGGCACGTACTTCCGTCCCTCTGGACACTGTGGGGGAGTAGGGTCGGCACGTAACGCCCGCTCGATGTCCGCATCGACCTCCCACACCACCGGTGCCACCAGACAAGACTCCGGAAGTATGGGAGTGGGCTCAATGGACCTCTCCTCTGTGTCATATCGTCGGGACAGGGCATCTGCCTTAGCGTTCTTACCCCAAATCGGGTAAGAAACATGGCCCACCTAGCCTGACGAGGGTTCAGTCTCCTCGCTGCCCGGATGTACTCCAGGTTACGATGGTCAGTCAGAATGAGAAAACGGTGTTTAGCCCCCTCAAACCAATGCCTCCATACCTTCAGGGCTTGAACCACCGCTAGCAGCTCCCTGTCCCCCACGTCATAATTGCGCTCCGCCGGACTGAGCTTCTTAGAATAGAAAGCACAGGGGCGGAGTTTTGGAGGCGTGCCCGAGCGCTGAGACAGTATAGCACCGATCCCCGCCTCGGACAAATCCACCTCAACTTGGAACGCCAAAGAGGGATCCGGATGTGCCAGCACCGGAGCCGAGGTGAACAGGTCCTTCAGATGTCTAAACGCCCTGTCTGCCTCAACCGACCACCGCAAACGCACCGGGCCCCCCTTTAGCAGGGAGGTGATGGGAGCTGCTACCTGTCCAAAGCCCCGGATAAACCTCCTGTAGTAATTGGCAAAACCCAAAAACCGCTGCACCTCCTTCACCGTGGTGGGAGTCTGCCAATTACGCACGGCTGAAACGTGGTCAATCTCCATCTCCACCCCTGACGCGGACAACCGATGTCCCAGGAAGGAGATGGACTCCTGGAAGAACAGACATTTCTCCGCCTTCGCATACAGGTCATGCTCCAACAGTCTTCCAAGTACCCGACGCACCAGGGACACATGCTCGGCTCGTGTAGCGGAGTATAATAGAATGTCATCAATATACACCACTACACCCTGTCCATGCAAATCCCGGAAAATCTCGTCCACAAACGATTGGAAGACTGAAGGAGCATTCATTAAACCGTATGGCATGACGAGGTACTCATAGTGACCCGAGGTGGTACTGAATGCTGTCTTCCACTCATCTCCCTCCCTAATGCGCACCAGGTTGTACGCGCTCCTGAGATCCAATTTTGTGAAGAATCGCGCCCCGTGTAATGACTCCGTCATACTAGCAATCAGAGGGAGAGGATAGCTGTATTTGATTGGAATCTGATTGAGACCACGGTAATCAATACACGGGCGTAAACCCCCATCCTTCTTCTTCACAAAAAATAAACTTGAGGACGCAGGGGAAGTGGACGATCGTATGTATCCCTGTCTCAGAGATTCGGTGACGTATGTTTCCATAGCCGCCATCTCCTCCTGAGACAGAGGATACACATGACTACGAGGAAGCGCAGCGCCTACCTGGAGGTCTATCGCACAATCCCCCTGTCGATGAGGTGGTAATTGAGTCGCCTTCTTTTTACAGAAGGCGAGTGCCAAATCGGCATACTCAGGAGGAATGTGCATGGTGGGAGTTTGGTTCGGACTTTCCACCGTCGTTGCCCCTACGGAAACACCTACACACCGCCCGACACACAGATCAGACCATCCCTTGAGAGCCCTCTGTTGCCATGAAATGTTGGGGTCATGAGATGTTAACCAGGGAAGCCCCAACACCACGGGAAACGCAGGAGAGTCAATCAAATATAACCGTATAATCTCCTCATGGCCCTCCTGCATCTTAATCTTAAGTGGCGCTGTGACCTCCCTAATCAATCCCGACCCCAAAGGGCGGCTATCTAGGGCATGGGTGGGGAAGGGCACATCAACTGGTACAATAGGAATCCCTAACTTATACGTGAACCGGCGATCGATAAAATTCCCAGCTGCGCCTGAATCTACTAGCGCCTTATGCTGGGAGTGAGGAGAAACCTCGGGAAACACAACTTTAATACACATATGTACAACAGAGAGCTCTGGGTGAGTTGGGTGCTTACTCACCTGGAATGACTCATCAGTGCGCTGCCTACTGCCTCGATTCCTAGGAGACCCTCCCCAGCACCGACCCGCAGTGTGTCCTCTGCGGCCACAGTTGGTGCAGGGGACGGCCTCTCTCCTGGTCTCTCTCTTAGTCTCCCTAGCACCAGCACCCCCGAGCTCCATAGGGCTCAGCTCGGAAGTGCTGGGGGATGGAATGGACGGCCCCGACTCCGGACATCCGCGGGTAGCCAACAGGGTATCTAGGCGAATCGACATGTCCACCAGCTGATCGAAGCTTAGGTTGGTGTCCCTGCAGGCCAATTCCTGACGCACGTCCTCCCTCAGGCTGCACCTGTAGTGGTCGATGAGGGCCCTCTCATTCCATCCCGCATTGGCAGCCAGAGTCCAGAAGTCCAATGCTAACTCCTGCGCGCTCCTCCTCCCCTGTCTGAGGTGGAACAGACGCTCACCTGCCGCCTTCCCCTCTGGGGGATGATCGAACACCGCCCTGAAGCGGCAGGTGAACTCCGCATAGTTGACTGTAGCAGCGTCTATTCCCCCCCACTCGGCATTGGCCCACTCCAGCGCCTTGCCGGACAGACAGGAGATGAGGGCGGACACGCTCTCGTATCCCGAGGGCACCGGGTGGATGGTTGCCAGGTAGAGTTCCACTTGGAGCAGGAAACCCTGACATCCGGCCGCGGTGCCATCATAAGCCCTCGGGAGCGAGAGCCGAATCCCACTGGACCCCGGAGATGAAGCGATGGGAATAGCTGATGGTGGTGGTATCGTCGGAGGAGGTGTGGGCAAACCTCCTCTTTCCCATCGCTCCAAGGTGTTCGTCACCCGTTCCATGGCGGTGCCGAGAGCCTGGATCATGGCCGCTTGTTGTGTTACGCGCTCCTCCATTGATCCAGCTGGCACCGCCGCTCCTGCTGACTCCATGTCTAGGTGTGTGATTCTGTCACGCGACGTGTATGCGGTCAGCGAAGTCAAACGCAGGACACAGAGCGGCTGGCAACGTACTTTACTGAACACAGTAAAATAAACGTACAAAACAACAAACCTCCAAACAGGGAGGAAAACACAAATGCCCGTAATACAAAGCAACTGCCGAAATAACAAAGAACAATCACACACAAAATAACCAATGTGAGACAGGGGGTAATATAGGGAATACAATCCAACATAATGGGAAACAGGTGTAAACAATAAATACCAAACAAGACAAACACCGAAACATCGATCGGCAGCAGCTAGTACTCCGGGGCAAGGAGGAGGAGCAGCCTCGGCTGAATCCGTGACACTTACACACACACACTGCCATTATTAGAACAAATCAATGACATCAATCAGAGAGAAAACCGCACTAATTAGAAAAATAACTTCAGCTGCCTTCCTCCTTTGCCTTCGTTCGTTTATGACTAGATTAATAAATTGTTACATGGCACACATGCGCACACACAGAGATTAAATTAGTGTTAAGTGGGACATAATTCTAGAGGGATTACACAATTAGGCTGTGATTATGCTACTGAGAGGAAGTTATAAACAAATAGAATCTCCCTGGGCAGAGAAGAAAACAGTGTATTGCTCATACAGTGGGGAGAACAAGTATTTGATACACTGCAGAGTTTGCAGGTTTTCCTACTTACAAAGCATGTAGAGGTCTGTAATTTTTATCATAGGTACACTTCATCTGTGAGAGACGGAATCTAAAACAAAAATCCAGAAAATCACATTGTATGATTTTTAAGTAATTAATTTGCATTTTATTGCATGTATTTGATCACCTACCAACCAGTAAGAATTCCGGCTCTCACAGACCTGTTAGTTTTTCTTTAAGAAGCCCTCCTGTTCTCCACTCATTACCTGTATTAACGGCACCTGTTTGAACTCGTTACCTGTATAAAAGACACCTGTCCACACACTCAATCAAACAGACTCCAACCTCTCCACAATGGCCAAGACTAGAGAGCTGTGTAAGGACATCAGGGATAAAATTGTAGACCTGCACAAGGCTGGGCTGGGCTACAGGACAATAGGCAAGCAGCTTGGTGAGAAGGCAACAACTGTTGGCGCAATTATTAGAAAATGGAAGAAGTTCAAGATGACGGTCAATCACCCTTGGTCTGGGGCTCCATGCAAGATCTCACCTCGTGGGGCATCAATGATCATGAGGAAGGTGAGGGATCAGCCCAGAACTACACGGCAGGACCTGGTCAATGACCTGAAGAGAGCTGGGACCACAGTCTCAAAGAAAACCATTAGTAACACACTACGCCTTCATGGATTAAAATCCTGCAGCGCACGCAAGGTCCCCCTGCTCAAACCAGCGCATGTCCAGGCCCGTCTGAAGTTTGCCAATGACCATCTGGATGATCCAGAGGAGGAATGGGAGAAGGTCATGTGGTCTGATGAGACAAAAATAGAGCTTTTTGGTCTAAACTCCACTCGCCGTGTTTGGAGGAAGAAGAAGGATGAGTACAACCCCAAGAACACCATCCCAACCGTGAAGCATGGAGATGGAAACATCATTCTTTGGGGATGCTTTTCTGCAAAGGGGACAGGACGACTGCACCGTATTGAGGGGAGGATGGATGGGGCCTTGTATCGTGAGATCTTGGCCAACAACCTCCTTCCCTCAGTAAGAGCGTTGAAGATGGGTCGTGGCTGGGTCTTCCAGCATGACAACGACCCGAAACACACAGCCAGGGCAACTAAGGAGTGGCTCCGTAAGAAGCATCTCAAGGTCCTGGGGTTGCCTAGCCAGTCTCCAGACCTGAACCCAATAGAACATCTTTGGAGGGAGCTGAAAGTCCGTATTGCCCAGCGACAGCCCCGAAACCTGAAGGATCTGGAGAAGGTCTGTATGGAGGAGTGGGCCAAAATCCCTGCTGCAGTGTGTGCAAACCTGGTCAAGACCTACAGGAAACGTATGATCTCTGTAATTGCAAACAAAGGTTTCTGTACCAAATATTAAGTTCTGCTTTTCTGATGTATCAAATACTTATGTCATGCAATAAAATGCAAATTAATTACTTAAAAATCATACAATGTGATTTTCTGGATTTTTGTTTTAGATTCTGTCTCTCACAGTTGAAGTGTACCTATGATAAAAATTACAGACCTCTACATGCTTTGTAAGTAGGAAAGCCTGCAAAATCGGCAGTGTATCAAATACTTGTTCTCCCCACTGTATGTATGTTCTTAACTTGTAGATGTTAGGGTTTACGATTTAATGACAGACTGTTAACTTAAATGTTAAACAAATCGAGTAGCTGGCCAGTGTCCACACAAGATTTGGTTCTGGGTTCCAAGATCAAGGACTTCATAACAATAATTACCGACACACACCCAGAAATGCTACTGATGAATAAGATAAAGTAGTGAAATTCTGGGCTGCAAAAGGAATAAATATTTTGGTCTGGACAGTAGGCAACGCCTTGGAACCACTCTGGTAATCAGAGTAATGTCTTGAGTATTATTTTTCAGCCAATTACAATCTTTGTTTTTCTCTGTTAATCACCAGTGTGTCAACACAATCCCCTGTCCATTCGATTTGTTTTTAAAGAGGTTTGTTTGTGGCATTTCCTGTGGCCATTGATTGGCTACCTAACGGTGTATCTCCAAACCCTGTCTAACTCCTAATCGTGTCCTCTGTATAACACCTTAATGTGTCCTTCGAGTTTGAGAGAGAAAACACAGAAATACAGAGTGCGTCCCAAATGGCACCCTAATTCCCTACATGGGCGCTGTTCAAAAGTAGTGCACTATATAAGTAATAGGGTGCCATTTGGGACGAAGCCAGAGACTGTGCACGGAATTGGATTGATCTCATTTAGACAGAGCCTTAGTACCTCTCTGTTCCCTGCTTGACTTCTGAGCCCCAGTCATTAGTGTCATTGATATCGATCAAATTAAAAAGGTCCAATCGACCGACCCCCATGTTAGAGCCCATCAAAGGGGCTTCTCTGCCTAGGGGGCTCCGACCCAGGCTCCATCTCTCTTTACCTTTATTTATCCATCTATCCGTCTCTCCATCCCTCCTTCCTAAAGCAAGCAAGGGAACAGCAGGTGAGGGAGCAGAGCGATCAATCTACTTTCATGTGGTTGTCCACAGCCATCAGTTAGCCAGTGTGAGAGAGGAAGAGCGAGGCTGCTGCCTGTTTGTTGGATAGAACACCCATCCACCCACACACACACACACAACAAGCAGTGCTGTGTGTGTGAGGAGACAGCTCAGGCTGGTAAATGGATTTGGGCTTGTAAGACCAAACAGAGAACACACCTCATCAGCTCCTGTAGACCAACTCATTGTACTCATGTCACAGATGTTGTATGTCACAGATGTTGTATGTTCAAGCCAAACCTTGACCCGGAAAATATAAAAAACTATCGGCCTATATCGAATCTTCCATTCCTCTCAAAAATTTTAGAAAAAGCTGTTGCGCAGCAACTCACTGCCTTTCTGAAGACAAACAATGTATACGAAATGCTTCAGTCTGGTTTTAGACCCCATCATAGCACTGAGACTGCACTTGTGAAGGTGGTAAATGACCTTTTAATGGCGTCAGACCGAGGCTCTGCATCTGTCCTCGTGCTACTAGACCTTAGTGCTGCCTTTGACACCATCGATCACCACATTCTTTTGGAGAGACTGGAAACCCAAATTGGTCTACACGGACAAGTTCTGGCCTGGTTTAGATCCTACCTGTCGGAAAGATATCAGTTTGTCTCTGTGAATGGTCTGTCCTCCGACAAATCAACTGTACATTTCGGTGTTCCTCAAGGTTCCGTTTTAGGACCACTATTGTTTTCACTATATATTTTACCTCTTGGGGATGTTATTCGAAAACATAATGTTAACTTTCACTGCTATGCGGATGACACACAGCTGTACATTTCAATGAAGCATGGTGAAGCCCCAAAATTGCCCTCGCTAGAAGCCTGTGTTTCAGACATAAGGAAGTGGATGGCTGAAAACTTTTTACTTTTAAACTCGGACAAAACAGAGATGCTTGTTCTAGGTCCCAAGAAACAAAGAGATCTTCTGTTAAATCTGACAATTCATCTTGATGGTTGTAAAGTCGTCTCAAATAAAACTGTGAAGGACCTAGGCGTTACTCTTGACCCTGATCTCTCTTTTGACGAACATATCAAGACTGTTTCAAGGACAGCTTTTTTCCATCTACGTAACATTGCAAAAATCAGAAATTTTCTGTCCAAAAATGATGCAGAAAAATTAATCCATGCATTTGTTACTTCTAGGTTAGACTACTGCAATGCTCTATTTTCCGGCTACCCGGATAAAGCACTAAATAAACTTCAGTTAGTGCTAAATACGGCTGCTAGAATCCTGACTAGAACCAAGAAATTTGATCATATTACTCCAGTGCTAGCTTCCCTACACTGGCTTCCTGTTAAGGCAAGGGCTGATTTCAAGGTTTTACTGTTAACCTATAAAGCGTTACATGGGCTTGCTCCTACCTATCTTTCCGAGTTGGTCCTGCCGTACATACCAATACGTACGCTACGGTCACAAGACGCAGGCCTCCTAATTGTCCCTAGAATTTCTAAGCAAACAGCGGGAGGCAGGGCTTTCTCCTATAGATCTCCATTTTTATGGAACAGTCTGCCTACCCATGTGAGAGACGCAGACTCGGTCTCAACCTTTAAGTCTTTACTGAAGACTTATCTCTTCAGTAGGTCATATGATTGAGTGTAGTCTGGCCCAGGAGTGTGAAGGTGAACGGAAAGGCTGGAGCAACGAACAGCCCTTGCTGTCTCTGCCGGGCCGGTTCCCCTCTCCACTGGGGTTCTCTGCCTCTAACCCTGTTGCAGGGGCTGAGTCACTGGCTTGCTGGTGCTCTTTCATGCCGTCCCTGGGGGGGGTGCGTCACTTGAGTGGGTTGAGTTACTGACGTGATCTTCCTGTCTGGGTTGGCGCCCCCCCCCCCTTGGTTTGTGCTGTGGTGGAGACCTCTGTGGGCTATACTCGGCCTTGTCTCAGGATTGTAAGTTGGTGGTTGGGGATATCCCTCTAGTGGTGCGGGGGCTGTGCTTTGGCGGAGTGGGTGGGGTTATATCCTTCCTGTTTGGCCCTGTCCGGGGGTTTCTTCGGATGGGGCCACAGTGTCTCCGGACCGCTCCTGTCTCAGCCTCCAGTATTTATGCTGCAGTAGTTTATGTGTCGGGGGGCTGGGGTTAGTTGGTTATACCTGGAGTACTTCTCCTGTCTTATCCAGTGTCCTGTGTGAATTTAAGTATGCTCTCTCTAATTCTCTCGTTCTCTCTTTCTCTCTGAGAACCTGAGCCCTAGGACCATACGTCAGGACTACCGGGCATGATGACACCTTGCTGTCCCCAGTCCGCCTGGCCTTGCTGCTATTCCAGTTTCAACTGTTCTGCCTGCGGCTACGAAACCCCTACCTGTCCCAGACCTGCTGTTTTCAACTCTAAATGATCGGCTATGAAAAGCCAACTGAGAGACCTGAGCCCTAGGACCATACGTCGGGACTACCGGCCGTGGTGACTCCTTGCTGTCCCCAGTCCGCCTGGCCTTGCTGCTATTCCAGTTTAAACTGTTCTGCCTGCGGTTATGGAACCCCTACCTGTCCCAGACCTGCTGTTTTAAACTCTAATGATCGGCTATGAAAAGCCAACTGAGATTTATTCCTGATTATTATTTGACCATGCTTGTCACTTATGAACATTTTTGAACATCTTGGCATGGTTCTGTTATAATCTCCACCCGGCACAGCCAGAAGAGGACTGGCCACCCCTCATAGCCTGGTTCCTCTCTAGGTTTCTTCCTAGGTTTTGCCTTTCTAGGGAGTTTTTCCTAGCCACCGTGCTTCTACACCTGCATTACTAGCTGTTTGGGGTTTTAGGCTGGGTTTCTGTACAGCACTTCGAGATATTAGCTGATGTAAGAAGGGCTATATAAAATAAAATTGATTGATTGATTGATTCTGTTGATGAGCCACAAGACAAGAGGAACACAATTAAAATGTAGTTAATGTTTCATATGGGAAATGGCTCAATTCAAGTTAAAACTTACCTGGATAAGATATTCCAGTTTTTATTCTCTTTATACGACAAGTATTATCATTTGAACTAACTATATCATGGGGCTTCATGGGTTTGGGTTTCTTGAAATGATTAACAGAATAGAAAATAGCACAGTAGAGACAGTATTTATTGGCCACGGTGGGTGTTGAGAGAAGCCGTGTGGTGTGCTTCTTTCTCTGTAGAAGCACACCAGTGAGTCTCTGGCTCTGCTGCGTGAACAGATGGAGACGCGGTGGGCGGTGTTAAATGGAATAGCAGGAGGAGAGGGCACAAACACACATACATGCATAAAGGAGCAGAGGGCACGTGGGCCCATGCCACGCGGTAACTGCTCTAAGGTCGTGTCAGCTGGTAGCCGTGTCTCACACACACACTGGGAGATGAGTGGAGCTGTGTGTCACCTGCCTGTATCTTATTAAAGAAGGTCACACCAATGACAAGCACCGATAAAGTTCTACTATCTGATGTGTGTGCTGTGGAGCCTCTCCTCCTTCATTAACTCTTAATGCCTTGTATTGTAGCACAGAACATGCACATGGATCAAGAAGCAATTTACTGTAATAGGTTTGGTTCCCACAGCCTGCAATTGTTAGCACGCTTGTCATTACCAACGAGGAATACACTGTGTACAAAACATTAGGAACACCTTCCTAATGTTGAGTTGCACCCCCTTTTGCCCTCAGAACAGCCTCCATTCGTCGGGGCATGGACTCTACAATGTGTCAAGCTTTCCACAGGGATGCTGGCCCATGTTGAATCCAATGCTTCCCACAGTTGTGTCAAGTTGGGTGGTGGACCATTCTTGATACACATGGGAAACTGTTGTGTGAAAAACCCAGCATCGTTGCAGTTTTGACACACTCAAACTGGTGTGCCTGGCACCTACTACCATACCCCGTTCAAAGGCACTTCAATATTTTGTCTTGCCCATTCACCCTCTGAATGGCACACATACACAATCCATGTCTCAAGGCTTAAAAATCCTTCTTTAACCTGTCTCCTCCCTTTCATCTACACTGATTAAAGTAGATTTAACAGGTGACATCAATAAGGGATCATAGCGTTCACCTGGATTTATCTGGTCAGTCTATGTCATGGAAAGAGCAGGTGTATCTAATGTTTTGTGCACTCAGTGTTTACTGCAGCAGCAACCAACTAACAAAAGTTATCATTGTCTACTGTGGATATTTCCAACACTTCCCCATTGTTGACCTGGTCAGTGAATGTGTGTTGTTATTATTGCAGGATGAAGATGCTATGTCTAAAGACTCACCCATCAAGGAGTCATCTGGGGACCCAGAGGGTGGTGATACTGCTGCAGAGGTAGGATATTTACCTACGCTTATAACAGTTTCTAGAGCAGTGGTTCCCAACCTTTTTTAAACCGTGGTACACCTTGATTTAAAAAAAAACTATCAAGATAAAATAATCAAGATTAGGAAAAGTTTTGCGGCACACCTGAGAGTAGGGATGTGAACTAAAGGTCTTGGACCCATTCCGAAATGGATCTGTGGCTTTCCCACCCAACATGCATAAATAAAACATTTAAAAACGGAGACCCGTTCCGAATGGACCCGAGGATAGTCAGACCCGTTCCGAAAAGGCTTATGGAAAAACAGACCCAAACAGACCCATGCCGGCTCGGATCTGAGAGACCCGTTCAGATCCGAGAGTAGAAAGCGAGAGAGAAATAAACTTCCGACTGGGCGCTGCCAGCGCCATCAATAAACAAGTGACATTGGCCAAATGATCCACAGTTACTTACTTGTCCTTAAACTGCCTATAAGAAATGTCAAAACAACTATTTATTGTGTTTCGATGTGTAGCATATTCAAGACTTTATAGCCTATTGTTTTATTGGTTTTTACTTTCCTAAAACAGTAATTGTCCACCTCACGGTTCAGCTGTGGGAGATTTGAGCGCTAAATGCATCAGGGCATTGCATGCATATAGGCCTGTAGGCCTAGGCGTCCACTGTATGATATGAATATTTTTAAACAATTATATAAAAGAAGAGAAGCTTAGGCCTAGCCCTAGAGAGACCGAGAGAAAGATGCATTCTTTATCCTTATCAGAAACTTTGCTAAAGAAATCTGTGTCAGATATCTCGATTTCTATTGATGGGTACACGGTTTTTAGAACTGATCGGATGAGTAAAGGAGGAGGGGTTGCAATTTGTGAAATCCAAGTTTAACACCTCAAATTCTCTCGATTACCAAAGCCAAACATTTTGAATTGCTTGCGGTTAAAGTGAACGTATATAAGGACTCCCACATTACTGTAGTCGGCTGCTACAGACTGCCCTCTGCTTCGGGAGACTCACTTAACTCTCTCTCTGATGTCCTGCACAAGCTAAGTGACTCTGAATTCATTATTTTTGGAGATTTGAACTGGGACATGCTTACATCTGTATCGGACTCTTTTAAAGAACTGTGACTCTGAATCTCACGCAATTAATTAATGCGCCTACAAGACGGAATCCCAGAGCACCTAACAAATCAAAGCTTTTGGACATTCTTCTAACGAATATCTCTCACAAATACACATCGACTGGGATATTCTGTAATGATGTCAGTGATCACTGTGAAATTGCTTGTTAGATATACAAAAATGACCAAAGCCAAACCCAGTTATATTTTTTAAAGACGTGTTCTTACATGATCTGTACCATAATAATGACAGTAAGTCTGATTCTCGATGTTGACACTGCCTGGGACTATTTTTATATGACATTTGTGTCCATTTGCGATAAGCATGCCCCTGTGAAGAAATTTAGAATCAGTGGAAGGGACAATCCCTGGTTTTCAGATAACTTGGCAGAATTAATTAGAAAGAGAAATGTCTCTTGGGCTCAAGCTAGACATACAAATGCTCCTGTTGACTGGGCCTCCTTCAGAGCGCTAAGAAACAAATGTACATGATCAGGAAGTCCAAATCAGATTTCTATCTAAATGTGGTCACAGGGAACCTAAACAACCCTACCAAGTTCTGGAAGCTAATCAAATCAGTGTCAGCTTCTAATGTATCCTCTGGCCTTCCTGACCATTTAATGATGGATTCTAATGAAGTGAAGGATAAAGCTGATATTGTAGGGGTTTTTAACAAGCACTTCATATCTGATGGTTCAGTTTCTGATAATGGTGGGGCCCAGGCCTCTAATGTAAGCTCTGTTACAGTAAACTATGATATAGGCTCTCATGTGAACCATTTTAACTTTGAGCCTGTTTATTAAGCTGAGGTCTATAAAGCACTAAAGGCAGTAGACAATTAAAAAGTATTCAGGTCCAGACATCCCGGATCCCTCTTAAAGTAACAGCTGGTATTATTACTGAGCCTGTGGCTCACATTTTCAACTTGAGTCTCTTGACCAATTCCATACCCATCATTTGGAAATCAGCTTATGTCCTCCCACTACTAAAGGGTGGAGATCCCTCAGACGTGAATAACTATCGTCCTATCTCCAAACTCCATATCCTGGCCAAAGTCTATGAATCCCTAGTGAACTCACAGTTTAAAAAACATCTTAATTGAAAAGAACATACTGAGCGGGGTTCAGTCTGGCTTTAGATCGGGGCACAGGCTGTTGAGTCTCTGGTTCAGGCTGTTGAAGACCTCCAGACTGCTTTTCAGTCACTGCAGGTCTCCCTTTATGGTCTCAAACTGGTCTTGAATGTATAAAAAACTAAATTCATGACCTTTACCAGAGCTCGCACTCAGCCAGAGAAGGTTAGCATTGTCACATCTGGTGGCTTATCCATTGGAAAAAGTGTCATCCTACAAATACCTAGGTATATGATTGGATGACAAGTTTTCCTTTAAAGTTCATATGGATAATCTTGTGAGGAAGCTTACATTTAAATTGGGTTGTTATTTTCGTAATAAGGCTTGCTTCCTGCTTATGGCTAGAAAGAAGCGTGTTCAGGCCACTTTTCTCTCTGTAATTGATTATGGTGACTTGTTGTATATGCATGCAGCCTCCTCTGTCTTACAGAGACGACTCTGTTTATCATGCTTCCTTGCGCTTTATTACAAATACCAAGTCACTCACCCACCATTGCACCTTGTAACAAATGGTGGGTTGGACCTCACTTTATACAGTATGCGCAGAAGGCTATATTTGTGTTCATCTACATAGCCCTTTTGGGTAAACTCCCTCTTTACTTCTTTAGTCTGGTCTTCTTCACCACCAGCAGTTACCATACCCGGTCTGCTAGGTGGTTGCTACTTAAAGTCCCCAGGATATTTACAGTATTAGGCAAGACTGCTTTCTCGTCTTGTGCATCAGAGGCATTGAATAGTCTACAACCCATGCTTCATCTAGATATATTAGTGCCACTGAATGAATTAAAAATGTTGATGGGAGACTCTGTTAGAGGAGTGTAAATGCTTTTTTTTAGACTGGATCATGTTGTTGAATTGTATTGTTGTATGTTTTAATTCTGTAATGTATTGATTGTTGCTGCCTTCTTGGCCAGGTCTCCCTTGAAAAAGAGACTCTGGGTCTCAATGGGCTTTTCCTGGTTAAATAAAGGTTAAATCAAATAAATAAATAGGCTACTAATATACAGAGAGGCGTACAGAAGGAGGCTAATTCGTACATTTTCTATCAGAATATTGTTTTTATAAAGATAAGCATTAGATTAAAGGAGTAACACTGGTAGGCCTAAAACACCTCACCTCAAGTTCAGCTGTCAGAGAGAGTTGGAGCGCCGGTGCACACTGCCTTTATAAGCCTGTTTACATGGAAAATACAAACAAGTTATTATGTTGTGGCATTAAATTACGTTTTGCATCTCGCCCTCTTTGGTTTTGCCTTTTTATGGTTTGAGTGTGAGCAGCCCTATATAGGCCTACCGGTAATTCTATTATATTGCGGCAAACACATCATTACAGTTGGAACTTAATTTAGCCAACAAATATCAACAACTGAAACAAAATACTTGCATACTTAAAGAACTGGTTGAGATTCTTAAATAGGCTTACAATAATAATGATAAAACAAATGATAATAAATATGAAAACAGTTAAAAGTAAAAATATTGCATCAAACCTAAATAGCGAGTTGCACACAGACCATTTGGCCGCGCCAACGTTCTTCTCATCTTTGTCCACCCACAGAGGACATTCCCCTTGTCGGCTTCTTTTCACTATACTCTTTCTCCTCCAACTTTTCATTTACTTCAATGAAAATGGCCTCCATTTTCACAATCAACAGTAGCAAAGGCCAAGGCTCCTTACACTCGCTCTTGCGCTCCTCAGCAGCAGCAACCAGTTTCAGCTGTAGGATCCGGACCCGCTTGGATCTCAGAATTTTGGGTCTGTTGGATCCGTGAAGACCTCTAGTGTGAACATTAAAATGTTGAAACGGAATTGGGATCCTAATGTCTGTTTTTTCTTCCCCCCCGGCTGACGGGAGATTGGGAAGGGGAATAAAGTGGGCAGCCTTCGAGAACCGGTCCACAACGACCAGGATGACTGTGTATCCATCAGAGGGGGGTAGGGCAGAAATGAAATCCAGCGAGATGTGGGACCAGGGGCGCTTGGGGATAGGCAGGGGTTGGAGCAGCCCTGCCGCGGGCTGACGTGAGCTCTTTGTGCGCACGCACACCGGGCAAGTAGCCACGAAGGCGCGCATATCCCCCTCAGCAGATGGCCACCAAAACCTCCTACGCAGGAACTCCAACGTCCTGGCGCCCCCTGGATGGCTGGTGAGGTCGGACGTGTGCGCCCACTGAAGCAGTCGCGAGCGCGCAACCTTGGGTACGTACATCCTCCCCGATGGACCTCCGCCCGGATCAGGCTCCCGCCTTAGCACTGCTCTGACCAGCCTATCAATTCCACACGAAACTGGGGCAGCAATCAGGGCGTTGGGGACAATGGGGTCGTCCCTCTCCACCAGGTCCACAGGGTCGAACTGCCGGGAGAGCACGTCAGGCTTGGTGTTCTTCGACCCCGGATGGTATGAGATGGTGAACCGGAACCTGGTGAAGAACAACGCCCACCTGGCCTGGCGAAAGTTGAGCCTCTTGGCCCCCTGAATGTAGGCTAAGTTCTTGTGGTCAGTCCATACGATGAATGGATGGGCGGCCCACTCTAGCCAATGCCTCCACTCCCCCAGGGCGAGCTTGACCGCTAGCAGCTCACGGTTCCCCACGTCGTAATTCCGCTCCGCCGGGGACAGCCGACGGGAGAAAAATGCGCAGGGGTGAGTCTTAACGTCCGTGAGGAACCGCTGGGACAGGATTGCTCCCACCTCAACGTCTGAAGCATCCACCTCCACAATGAACGGCAGGGACGGATCAGGATGCCCGAGAACCGGGGCCGATA